GTCTCTTTTGCCTGGCTACCCCCCCAGTTAAACCATACAATTTTGGGCACATTAAAATCGCCACATCCCCCCCCCCCCCCCCCCCCCCCGAGCAGCTCCGACAGCCCATGCCCTGCTCATGGAACGAATCAAGACGCAGAGAAACGGAACAGTGTGTTGAAGCATTGAACGCTTTGTTTCAAACGCATCGAATCAGAGCCAGTCACGCGCTCAAACAATGCGGACAAACGAACTCTCCTACTCATAACCATGGCAGACACCATGACTAGCTGACGCCCTCAACGAGTGAGACTTGACCAATCACGGTACACGGCACCTTACATTGGAGCGTGGCAGTTCCAGGAAACCCAAACCATAAAAGCAAAGCAAACTGCAAAGGGTACACCTGCCACACCTACTATTGGCTCGCTGCATGGAAACAAGGGCAACACTAATACGCTTGGTGAGAGGCGCAGCTCTCTCTCACAGCAATCGTCCAGAATCGTCTATCTCGTAATTGGTGAAACGGGGCTTGCTCACCAAGATGTGACTGGGGCCATAATTCCAAGACCAGCGCTCAACACAGAAATATTTGACAGAGGAAATCCAATTCTCATTAACTATCATCCAAACTAGCCGGTAGCAGTCTTGCTGGGAAGTCCTACTATGTACCTACGGTACTTACTAAGTTGAAGCTCTGCCCTGGATGTGAACAACCCCGCTTCCCCTTCTCCAACGCTACTCTCTGCATAGAACAGTGTTGTAATTAGCGTAGGTATTTGCAGCGAAGTGGGGGTTGGCGGGCGTCAGATACATGCGGTTCATGAAGAGCACATATTACTCACTGATCATCATCAGACTCAAAGAAGAGTGTGAGCGGGAGGCAATCCCGACTGTGCGGGATCTTTATGATCTGTAGCGGCATTGGCGGGACCTTGCATCTCATGCAAAGTCAAGTGAGCCTGAGATACGCGAAATTGTGGTGTCATCTGTATAAGACGATGATGGGACGATTTCTATGCTGGAGCGCCAGTAGTGCTAACAATTGGGGTGAAGGTCATGCCTCGGATCTCTCCCGAAACGCCACGTGATTTCATCATTTTCCCAAGCAGAGAGATGGAAACAAAGTCACCAGAATATTATTGACATTATCGCCATAAAGAATGGAAGAGTGGCTCGTCTTTCGAAAAAGTGCAGCATCAACTGAATACATGATGAACCCCCCATCGTAAAACTGCCCCAATTTGTAACCTCAAGCAACTCCACCATATGGTTCCGAATAACGCCTGTATCAGTCCTATCAATACACTCCAGGTTTCACACCGTACACCATTGCTTGCGTCAACCCTCAGCCGCGCTGCTGTTGTTTGTTCGAACCCGTCACGCCCTTGACAGTGTCATCGACCATACCCGTAGCACTACCGGCTGTATTACCGACGCCCTCGGTGGCAGAGCCAGCAACATTGCTCACGCCTTGCGTTGTTGACCTCACAGTGTTACTGAGACCCTTGGTCGTCGAGCCCGCGACATTTCCCACTCCTTCGGTTGTTGCGTTGAGAGTATCGCCGACGCCCTCGGTAGTCTTCCCGACAGTGCTGTTCAGTCCGCCCATGAGGCCCCCTTGACCTTGAGCCTTGTCGCCACCTGATAGGATGTTATTAACACCGCCGACGAGTCCACCTAGGAGTCCTTCCTGAGGCTGGCCCTTGTTTGATTTGTCTGCCATGACTGATGATATATAATGGATATTGTAGGAGAGCGAATATTGGCCTATCTCGAAAGAAACGAGATTATTATCACTTTGGCTTGGAGGGATGATAATCGATTGCGCTTTGATTGGAAAACGCGCTGTGACCATCAGCGTTGTTATACAACACAACACCCCAGTACTTCAGAGGCAAAACGAAGAACGTTGGAATCCCATTCGCTGACGCGCAGTGACGACATAATCTAAACGTCATGGAGTCACCAGGCCACTACTGATGCTGGGATGATGCTCTCAATGCTTCACACTAGCACAGAGCTCGTATGAACTAGATGCAGAGAAAGCTCGAGGTTTTGCGACTTCAGGCGAGCCGGCAAACTCTATCGTGATTAGGTTGCCATCCCATACAGAGATTCTACCGACCGCTGGCCCAACCGGAGAAATTTTGCTGGTTTCATCAAGCTACCAACCCCTGGTAGTCTGACGTAGGCCTGAAGTCAGTACCACATGCCAGATGATGCTTGGCTACGGGTTTTTAGATGACGACTAGCTGAGCGTCCTTCCAGAAGTTCGATACGAGTATCTCGGCTCACGATTTCTTGGATCAACAAGCAAATTGACTGAGTGGCATATCATGAGACGTGAATATCGAGTGTAAGAGTTCTATTTAGTAACAGTGCAGTGGCGTTATCACAAACGTGACGAATCCTTTATACCATGACAACTCCATTCCACGTCCAACACCCCCATTAACTTTCCTAGCAACTCCCAATGTAAGCTACGAGATCCCCGCTGAAATCATGGAACGCCGGAAAATTAGATTGAAGAGCAAGCTAAATGACTCGGCATCCACCCGCTCGCTAAGAGGCGGCTAATGACGGCGATTTTTGGCCTTTCATATCTTGATGTTGCTCACTCCTCAGATCTGCATCTGTGGGGAGTTGAGCATCGCTGTTCGTCTTAGAAATGCCCGAGGCATCTGTTGCGGCCGGATCCGCGTTGCTGGTCTTAGCTTCTCCTTCAGCGTTTTCACCCGCATTATCCGTATCCTCTTGTTGCTTCCTACTGAACATACCGACACCAGGCCTAGGAATAGAGGGCATTTGCGGTAACTGTGGCATAGATCGCGGTACAAATGACTTGAAGCTTGGCCCCGACGGCATCTCTGGCATCTTAGTTGGTACATACGATATCACACCGGTTCCGGCTTGCTGCGCGACGCCCATTAGATACCGCATGTAAGTGCTGCGTTGGGCTTCTTTCGTGTCTGGCGGAACCTCGAGGTCCTCGTCATCATCGGGCAGGGGAATGGCTGCCGCTGCCGCAGTGATGTCGAGAGGCGATTCATCAAGAATCTCAATGTCGTCTTCTTCACCGCCCGTTAGTGTGTCTCCCACTTCGTCAGGACCATTGGTTAAGCCTTCTGTCTTTGGAACCTCTTGGCCATCTGAAGTTGTGGTAACCGGCTGTTCTACGGGCTCCGGAGGCGATTCGATGAACTTAGGATCATCTTCGATAGGAGAGTCGTCCTTAAACCACCGAGTAACGAGATTGCTAGCTTCTTGTGTCATCTGTTCATACTCGTCGTTCTTATCTCGGATGAACATGCTCATGTGTCCCTGGATCTCATCATCCACCTTTTTGATGACACGCCGTGAGAAGAGGTGGTACGCCTGATGGTCTGTGGATGGGATGGCGCAGAATGTGCGCTCCGGGACGAAATAGCCACCACTCCAGTAACCGTTTTCACCAAGGGAGGTGTAGAAATCGTGAATCCCTATGCCCTTGAGGAGTGCCATACGCTCCAATCGCTGGGCGAGTTCTTGTTGCTTTAAAAGTGCGCCCACGAACGTAAAGTGATCTGACATGTACTCAAAAGATCTCCCGACGTTCCCGCGGTTGATATACGCCAGCCCCTGGCTGATTGTATCAACCCCTTGCTGATACCCTTCTGCATTAGAGATTAGCTATTGAATCTCATCACTCCTAATTTCAATGATAAGTTTAGGAATGACGCACCCTTGACTGATTCCTTATTGAGATTACGCATACTCCGCATGCCGTCCATGATCTGCTGTCGATGCATATACGCCGCGACTCCACCCGCAGCAATGGCGCCAACAGTGCCAGTCCGAACAGCGACCAGTTGCCATCCCTGCCACGCAGGGTTAGAAGAGCCCCTCGACGGCAGACTCGCCGTAGTCTTTCTGAACGCTGACTTCCCTAAAGCAGCTGGTGCCGCCGACAGTGCCGTCATGACATTGAAGACACTGCTCACTTTCTGGTAATTTGAGAAAGCCCCGTAGACGAACATTGACCGCGCAAGGCCGTTGAAAGGCGTGTCGAACGTCAGAATGCCTTGAATCAGGGGGAAGATGGGCTGGTCTGTTGCTTCCTTGTCCTTTTCAGCGGCGAGACGCTCGTTTAGTATGAGAAACAGCGTGTCTGATGCTACGAAGCCCCTAGGTTTTATTTGTTAGAATACTTGACATGGGAAAGCTGCGTTCACTTAGTCTCCATTATTTGAATTATCTTACCCCATTGAGTGCGCAACAAGGACTACGCCGACTTCTCGATCGTGAGGAGGCCATGGTTTCTCACAGTGTGCTTTGCGTACTTCCATCACTCTCTCTTTCAGCCTAATCAAATTGTTAGTCGGATTGCGGGTTACTGAAGAACATAGATGTGGATAAGCGGCAACTCACCATTCAAGAAATGAAGCCGAGCATTGACCCAGCTCGCCTTTCGTCTCGTACTTCGGGTAGACGATGGCTTCTACATTGTCCTCAGGTAACTGCTTCGCAACCTGCGCCTTGAGGTCCTCTGGGAAGGTGCGAAAGGTGTCATCGTTTCCCTAAAACTGTTAGCCAACGCTAAGCTCCCACAATCGTCGGAATGAGAATGAAAATGAATGGTAAGTAAGTACCTTGAAGCCGTGCAAGAAGCACAACAAGAGCGTTCGTGGCATTCTGATTATCTCTTGTAATCAGTCTTCCACCAGAGACCTAACACCGGTATCAGATAGGTAAGGAGTGGCTGGTGAATCTAGGAGTGTATGTACTAAATATACTTAGGTAGGGAGGAGGGATACAAAGCATAATAGATAAGAATACGACGATCTCAAATACTGCCGATATCTAAGTAGAGTATCTACTGTACTTAAAACCTAGCTACGTAGATCATAGGTATGCTATGTAGATGGGTAGCTAGTCACATAATGCAGGCCATCTTAATGTCACTGGAAACTTGGTGTTACCGCCGCGTCTACGCGCCACCCTCCGTCCCTCCCTCCTCCACGAACATCCACGTACGTCATTCCACGTCATTAGTTGTGTCACTAATTCGCCCTCTACATAGTCGTGGTATCCTTGATTTTGCGAATCCGCGTTAAACTCTCTCGGTTTAGCTCTCTCTGGCCGAATTTGAAGCCTATCAAAAGCGTCGAACCGAACATGTGATAGAAGCTACGCTAAGAAAATGCGAGGGTAGATGTGTGCGGGCTCGTTATCATCGTGGGATACCATCGTGAGATCACTAGGCGATAATTTGGATGATGTCTTTGAACATAAGAGGAAATTTTGATGAATACTAGATACATTGATTATAGTACAGTATGTAATGAAATTCTGACTTTGACAAAAGGAAATAGATAGATGAAATGAAACCTATACATGACAGTACATCATATAACTCGTAAAACCCGTAACTATTTTGAATTTCCAATCCCAGATTCCCAGAAGAAAATATGTAAGAAAACCCCCATCTGACATTAATATCCCAAGTAGAAGTAAACATCCCAAAAATTCGTAAGAAGTATTAAGCGCAAAGCGTACTCATTCCCGTGAAGAAAATCACGCCTCTATTTCTTCTTGCTACCGCCCGTAATAGGACTCAAGACGGTGCCCAGTCCAAGCCCGTCAAGGACCTTACTAATTCCCAGACCGCCCAACAAGTTCCCCACGAGATTGCCCAGGCCGAGCCCGTTCAGCAACTTGCCCACGAGCCCCAGCACGCCGCTGAGCAATAATCCGACGGCGGCGATGATCTGGAACAGGGGCTCGGAGAGGAGGCCCCAGAGGGGGTTGATCTTCTTCTTCGCCTTGGGCAGGTTCTCGAGCTTGCGCTTCGCGTTCTCGATGGTCTCCGTCACGGTCCCTGTGAGTTCCTTCAGGAGCTCGGCGAGATGGTATTCCTCGGGCGTGGCTTCGTGCCCGGCCGAGCGGTGCTTGGCTTGGGCGGAGATTCGGCCGTCTGGGTCCAGGCCGCGGATCACGCCGTTGGCTTCCGTCAGGATCTTGCCGCCTTCTTCGATGAGTGGGCGCACTTTGTTCACGAGCTCTTCTTCGTCGCGGTCTTCTTCGGATTTGGCTTCTTCGATGTTGATGGCCTGTGATAGGGTTTGTTAGAATCATGTAGGTAAGAGTTGAGTAGTTTAGGGGTTGGGAGGGTAAAGGAAGAAAGGAGAGATGGATAGATAGATTATGATGCTTACCTCTGCGATCATACGGCAGATAGGCTTGATCTTATCAAGCGATTGTTCAATGCAGTACGCGATCTGGCCCGCGATCTTAGCATCCTGCTCCCGCTGCAGACGTGCCTGGCGCTCTTCCTCGGTCTCCTCGGGCTCGGGCTCAGGCTCGTCGGGGATCTCGCTGAGCAGCGAGCAGTGGCCGAGGACATTGCCCTTCTGATCGATCACGTCGGCGTCGTCGTCGATCTTCTTGCCCGCGCACTCGCTCAGCTCGCCGGACGTAAGCTTGCCGATGATGTCGCCGTCCTCGCCGACGACGTTGCCCTCGCGGTTGACCTTGCGGCCGGACATGGGGCTGACGTCCTTCTCGACCTCGGGCTCCTCCCACCGCTCGGCGTGGCCGAGGACGTTGCCGTTCTTGTCGAGGATGTCGCCGTCGGCGTCGACTGGACGGCCCGCTAGGACATGTGGGTCGCCGGAGACGAGGCGGCCGACGACTTGGCCGTTGGCGGAGGTGACTTTGCCCTCTTTCGTGACGACGCATCCCTCGAGTTCGGCGAAGGGACCCTCCTTCATGCCTTCGCGCTCAGCCTCAGGGACGAGCTCGCACTTGCCGATGACGTCGCCGGCCTCGTTGCGGATGAAGCCGTTCTTGTCGCACATCTTTCCGATAAGGCGGGGTAACGCGCCCTCGATAACGCGACCGTAAATATCGCCGTGCGAGTCAACGGCGTTTCCGGCTTTGTTGATGCGCTTGCCTGCGAGGGAAGACATGTCGATCTGCTCCTCTTCGGGTTCAGGTTCAGGCTCCCAGCGTTCAGCGCGGCCTAGCTTGTTACCGGCGCGGTCTAGGATATCGCCGTCGGCATCGACTTGCTTGCCCTTGAGCTTCTTGATATCACCCTCGACCACGATACCGACCTGCTCGCCGTTGAACAAAACAGCGCCGTCGTCGCCGACGGTAGCACCGGGGAAGTCTTCGAATGGTGAGGGCTCCTCGGCTTCCTCGCGCTCGCTGTCTGGGATGGGCTCGGCTTTGCCGATGACCTTTCCGGCGTCGTTGAAGATCTCGCCGTTGTCGCCGACCCTCTTACCGGCCAGGTGTTTGACGATACCTTGCACTACTTGGCCCCAGACTTGACCCTTGTCATCGACGACGTTGCCGAGCTTGTTGACCTTCTTGTCCTTGAGGACGGAGTAGTCAATGGGCGCCTCTTCAGGCTCTTGTGGCTCTTCCTCTTCCTGGCGCTCAGCGTGGCCAATGACGTTGCCATTCTTATCTAGAATGTCACCATCGGCATCGACCTTCTTTCCGATGAGGTTCTGCCAGTCATCGCCGACAACAACGCCGACCTGGCGACCCTCGAAAATGACCTTGCCGTTCTTGTCGACAGTCGCGTCAGGGAAGTCCTCGAAAGGACCAGAAGGTTCGCTCTTTTCGGGCTCTGGTAGGACCTCGACCTCGCCGATGACATTACCGCGGTCATCCCAGACTTTGCCGCTCTTGTCGGGCATCCGGCCAACCATCTTCTTCAAGTCTGAACCTTCCTTTACCTTGCCGACAACATTGCCGTCTCGGTCAATGACATTGCCCATCTTGTTGATTTTGAGACCTTCAAGGATAGAGATATCGGGGAGTTCACCCTCGCCACCTTGAGCCTGTTCCTTGGCGGCGTCGATGGCATCTAGGCGCCCAGCAGCATCTGGAACTTCATCCTTGATGCGTTCAACGATGCTGCCTTCAGGCACGAGGTTGACCTTTCCGAGTTCAGTATCGTTGTCTCCTAGAAGTTGACCGTGCTCATTGATGCCCTTAATATCCTTGCCGATTAGGCTGTGGTAGTCCTGTCCTTCAGCCAGCTTACCCAGAATTCTGCCATTCTGGTCGGTCACCTGGCCGTTCTCGTTGATGTTGAAAGGGCTCTGGAACATGGCGATGACCTTATCGGCAACTGAGGGTGCGAAAGATGGGATTTGAATGGGTGCTGCCTTATGAACCTCCTCTAGGGCATTCAATCGGTCTGCTGCCTCGGGGACATCTTTCTTGACCTTTTCAGCCATGGATCCCTCTGGTGCAATGTCGATCTTGCCGAGAACTGTGTCGTTCTCGCCTAGTAGGTTTCCTTCTTCATCGATACCCTTGACATTCTTACCGACGAGATCCTGAATATCAGAGCCAGCTGACAGTTTGCCCAACACCTGGCCAGATTGGTCTTTGACCTTTCCGCCGTCTGCAATGGTGAAAGGGCCGTCAAATAGAGCAATGACTCTATTTCTGACTGAAGGTGGCAATGAAGGGATGTTTGGGAGGTCGGCCTCAGGGATGGGGGCCTGTTCAGTCAGTCCTTGTGCCTTGGAGCCAAGGTCAGCTGAAGGAGCGCCTTCAGCTGCCTCTTGAGCAGCTCCTGTTGCGCGCTCGGCAGCATCATCAACAGCGCCTGTCGCCTCTTGGACATCTTCGCCTGTTGCGTCCTGAGCAGCACCCTCAACATTATCTTGAGCATCTTCGACAGCATCCCCAGCTTCGCCGGTGGCATCTTGCGCGATGCCTTCGACATCGCCAGTCGCATCCTGGGCAGCGCCTCCGGCTTTGCTCGTAGTATCTTGAGCAGCTCCTTCAACACCTTCCGTCGCGCCTTGTGCAGCGTCTCCAACAGCGCCAGTTGCACCTTCAGCGGTATCTCCAACGGCATCTGTGGCGCCCTCGACCGCATCACCAGCAGTATCCGTGACACCCTTGGCAGTATCACCAACGGCTCCAGTCGCGTCCTGGGTTCCGGTGGCCTCACCAGCGGTATCAGCAGCGCCCTTAACGGTGTCACCAACAGCCCCAGTGGTGCCCTTGGCAACATCACCAACGGCGCCAGTAGCTCCACCGACAGCAGAGCCCGCGGTGTTAGCGACGCCCCCTAACGCGCTTCCGAGACCGCCGCCAATGCCGCCTTCTCCTTCTTGCTGTTCCTCGTCGCCTTCACCTGTTACGGTGTCCTTGGCGGAGCGTGTGGTATAGTTTAGATCGGAGGCTACATCGTCCAGGGGCTGTGCTTTGCCGACGACGCCGCCGTCGTCGTCGAGGATATCCCCTTCTTGTGTGACGATGTAGCCGTTGAATTTAGATGCTTCTCCGTCCGTTACTTTGCCGATGGTGTTTCCGTCGTCGTCGATTACTTCTCCTTTATCGTTGATGCGGCCGGCTGCGGGCACCATCTCGCCTTCGTTGTCGCCGCTCTCCTCCCCCAGATTCGATTCAGAGACATCTGGTATGGATCTCGGGGCTGATTGGTTCAGTGGGGTTTGGGGAGCTTTCTCTGTCTGCTCTGATTGTGAGGCGGCCTTGCCCTGTGGGCTGGTCAGGTTCTTGGCCGAGTCTGCGATTCCTGACATGGCGGCGGGGTGTATAATGGCGGCTAGGTTCTTGTCTGTTGAGAATTCGTACGTATATGATTGGGAATGAATTAGTTGTGTATTAGTCGGTTTGGGATATTGGGATTGGGATTGAGATTGAGATTTCTCTTGTTGATGGGGATTAAACATAGATTATGAGTTAAGATTACCGCAGACTGATAGATCCGCGGGTTCGATAAATACTTAAAAGTCAATTTATTGGAGTCTCCTCATGACGAGTGATGCCTCGAGTTACGTCACTTGTTGGCGGAGGAGTGCACTTAAATCATAGCAATATCCATCTGCTAACAACTCCCCACAGCCTTGAACCCTTCGTACAGGTTCCTCGACGTCATGGTGGTCTGGTAGGTGTTCGAGATACATAGGCTAGAACGTCATTCACAAACCGCTGCCGCAGGAATCCTTGCCTATCACTCCTGGTTCAAGCCACACATAGGGCTACTTCTGTCAGGTTGTGCAGGCATGTTGATTCGAGGGGGCGTGGGACATGCCACGAGGGTACCCAACGGCTTCTAGAGCCGTTAAGTTGTTACTTAGTTACAGTTGTGACAGCTACTTGGCATATCCATGCCTAACATAGGGCAGTGAGCTAGAAAGGTTGCCATGCTGTTAGCTTCGAGAAACTAAGAAAACCCTAGGAGAAACAAAGAATTTCCGCGTAACATCCGGCTCTACGGTTCACGGCTCGGTGTACACTACGCTGTGTGTGTGTTTCCCTGGTCTGCCCTGGATCTCGATCTGTATCGGCCATCTCAGCCTCGACGAGTAATGATATGGTGTTGCTGGGGTAAGATGCTGCTACTTCCAAGTTCCTGACATTACACAACGTAGACTCACTACCAAGTGGTTAGCATGCAGTCTATGTCGTCGTCAGCCACGCACACTATGACAGCCACAACTTGCCAAGGATGTTTCACGAGCTGCCTGGGTTGGTCCAGCGCCGTTGGATCGTCGGTTTAGTGGGATCGTGGCGCCGTCTTGGTATTCCCCTTGTGCCGGTAGTGCCCCGGGCGTGTTTGCAGAGCGGAGCGTAGTGCGCTGCAGTGAAGCTTTAGTCACAGCCCGGTGTAGATTCCTGTCGCTAACCTTTGCTGTTCACACGTTCCACTGGCGTGATCCTTGCAGTTGTCGGGTGCGGCATGATTCTGGTGGGGAAGTGATACGCAGCTAACGTCACCCTAGTCAGCTCTCCGTCAGCTCTCCACGAGATCCTCAACCGGTTTTTTTGCTCTGGCCAGTCCAGCTGTGGCGAAAACAAGCCAGGTATCAAGCCACACATCCACGGCTCGACGTCAAATCCACGTCATAAAGAGGTTAGTGTCGGAGACAATGAGAGCTAGGAGGCTGAAGCAAGCTGTTATCACAACATATTCAAATTTGGCGCATTGATTGCTAACCCCCTGGCGTGCCCACGTTGTGGCTCCGGGCCCGCGAAGTCCCAGATGTGAAGATGCTGAAGGAATGCCTCCTAGAGTTCCATCGTTTGTCACGATATTGATTGATCAATCGCTATATACACAAATTACACGATCGTGAATTTCCGTATTATGTACTTTTCATTATCTTAGCTCTTGGTTCTCATACAAATTATACAAATTATCAGCCGTTAGATCCTTCAACTTCAACCCCCATGATTCTTAGATAGCGTAAATAATAGCACATGATTCCGTTCCCGAACTCTATGATTCAGGAGACGGCCGTGAAAAAGTGGTTGGAATGCGTATCGTTAATTGTATCCCATCATTAGTAGACTTGACGTCCAAAAACAGGTCTGAAGGGCTACCGCCATTCTGCGCATTCACTTTGGGCTTCTGCTCTTCTTTCGGTTTTCCTTCCGAATCATTTTTGTGGGAAGGTTTCGATGAAGAGTTATTGTTGCCTAGTGGCCGATTGAACTTGCCGATAATATTACCGTCTTGGTCAAGAATGTTGCCCTTATGGTCTACTCGAAGGCCGCCTATGACATCGCCGGGGATCTCAGTGGGAGACGGTGGGTTAATGAAATTATCAGACACGTAGCCCACGATCTCTCCATCGTCGCCGTAAACTTCACCATTTTCTGAGACCTTCTTACCCACCATTGCGGGTAAGTCTCCGGTCGCATGGCCGAGCACCTCACCTGATTCATCCACAATGTTACCGACATCGTCAATTTCATGGCCCGCCAATCCTTCAGCAAGACGCTGCAGGTTAAAAGGCGCCAAAGAGTCAATGTGAGGAATCTTTGGTATTTTGGGGATTGGCGTGATGTTTGCCGCCTCTGTGGAATGTACCGATGGGTCTAGTATTTCCTCAGGAGGGTCTGGAGAGTCTTCATTAGGGATGTCTGGAAGATCGTTGGTGCTGGGGAGGTCTTCAAAGTCTCCCAGATCTTTGGAACCAGTCTTGGACTTTTGCGCCTCAGCTAGCTTTGAACCATTTCCATCTTTGCTTTGTCGCTGCAGTGGGATCTCAATGCGGCGCTCCACGTGCGCTGGTCGGCCCATGTTATCAATTACGTGTGAATCTTTTTCTTGACCATCCCCATTAATCTGAGGGCGTTGCGAGGAAGCTTTATTGTCCGATTTTGCGCCTGGCACAGCGGGCTGGGCTGCCTTCGAGATGTTGGCGACGTTTGGATCCCCCATTTTGTTGGTAGGTTGGGCTGCTGAGGTGTCGCGTTCGTTGTCGCGTTCGGTGTCTCTGAATGTTCCGTCGGCCGTCTTGGAAACACTAGCGGGCGCTGCTTCTAGCTTGTCTTTAGAAGGCGCTTGGTCCGACTCTCCCAAGTTCTTCTGGTCACCAGTATTGTCGTTGTCGTTGGTTTGATTGTTTGAACTCTGCTCCTCACCGGCGGGAGACTTGGTGACCTTGGGAGTATTTTCGCTAGACTCGGAGGAATGGCTGTCCATCAAAGATGTTACAAAACTGCTCATCTCGGGGTTGCCCTGGTCCTTAAAATACTTGGCTATGTCGATGGGGGAGTTAAAGCCATGGGTGGGGTTGCTGGTTTCAGACTGGGCGCTGCTGTCCGTAGTTTCTGAAGTCTCGGTGGACTGGCCAGTCAAGGTCTTGGCTAAGCCATTGACAGAGCCCTTTGCTGATTCCCTAGCACGAGCTATCTTGTCCTTGAAGCTCGAGACTTGGTTATTGTTTTGCGAGGCTTCCCTAGAGATGGGAGACCGAGCGTCTGTGCTTCGGCTCACAGTGTCATCGGTGGGGGTGAGGATGTAGTTGTCGACCAAGCCAACAGGGGTCTCCCCGGTGGTGTCAGAACCACCCCCATGATCAGAGGCCTTGTCTGAAGCAGCGGGGCCGTTGGTGAGGGGCGCGAGGTTCGTAGACTTCACAACATTATCGAGGCTTGGTTCTTGCGAAAGCGCCGAGCGCGGTGTATCCTTGGGCGTCTTTTGTTGTGGAGAGCCAGTTTGCGACTGTTGCTGCTGTTGGGATTGAGGGGATGGTTTCATTCGCGTTGGGGTCTTCGTTTTGGTCGCAGGTTTGAAGAGCTTCTTGGGCGGAGTCTGGGGAACTAGTGTGTCTGCCATGGCTTCTACGAGATAGCGGATTTGGTTCGCACGGCTGAGAAGAAAGATGGCAAAATAGATGGCTAGGAGTATATTATGTATGCGATCCAGCTCGCGCGCTGCAATATGGTTCATGAAGATCAGCACGGGGCTTTCTATGGTGTTATAAGGTTCGCGTGGATGGGTCAGGATGGGGTCAGGTCGATAGGTACGGCCGAATGTCCCAGTTAATAGTTAAAAGCTGTGACGGCTAAGCTGAATGAAAGCAAAGCTATGGCTTCATCAGCTAGCCCAGTCTTGTCATGGTGTCATACTCTCTGGGGTCCTCTAAGCCTCTAAGCCGAATTCCTGAGGTGCACCCCGTTTGAAGGAGCGAAAAGCGTCACGGCCCGGCAGAGGGACGTTTCGATGCGAGATCAATTGCGTCATGGCCTATGGGTAACTGCTGTAGCGTACGGAGTAGACCCATAGCAGTCCTCATAGCAGTTATATCCCCTATTCCTACTTCCTTAGGCACCTGGGCAGGTTACCTACCTTAACAGGCCGTTTATTAGTGGTAAGGATTACCTATTTCTTACCAGTGTTACCACTACACCAGCTTGCCCGTCCACTAAGTTTGTTATGTAGATGGGCAAGTACAGCAAGTAAGGAGTGAGTGCATTGAGGGAAAGTCGGAGAGGGGTTGATAGAGATGAGTCGAATCCCTGTCCTAGACAGACCACCCAGCAGGGATGCGCAGCAGCATCTCGACCAATGCGGCCAGCTTGTCTACCACACAATTCATGCTGGCTTTCTCATCGGTGATCGGAACGAACGCATATCGCCAGTTTCGTCGTCGCTGACAGCTACTCTATGTATATAGGCTATTGGTATTGGCGCCGTCGACATCGCTGATAACTTCGAATGTCGTCTGTGCTTGCCCTATCAGGTCTCCTAGAATCGCTGCAGTGCGCTCGACACACGTGCGACCGTCTTGGCTATTCTCTGATTTGTTACCCTACTACGCTGTTACTCTGTCTGCACTGATGATGGCGTTATAAAATGAACGAACCAATCATACCCGTAAGTCGATCGGTTGCTTCTCGTGTGACCAGCGTTCCACCGTCTTCTACGAATGGTACTGGTAGTGCAAGGAGACGCCACCCACACGTACGTTACCTCTATCTGCTCTATCAGGTAGATCGAGTATAGACGCGTCGGTTCGAATTGATGGAAGGAATACAATACTCCTGGTGTGAATATCATGATTGGAAAAACGGTAACATTTTTATGATGCTTTGTATGAATTTCTACCCAATATTGGAAGGCTTCCACTGACTAGGCTTAATCTAATTATTAAATAGCGCGGATGAACACCCAAATCAGCGCAATTGCAGGATGCGTCGGCTACCTGCCTAAGCGACAAGACAAGCACCCAGCACAGCATAAACCCGAGACATGCTAATCCGAGGACCGTCAAGCTGCAATGCCTCGAGTGTATATATATTATTTTTTCACAAAATCGTGAGACGCTCCATATGCCGAGGGAGGCCCTTCTGGCCTCGAATTTCCTGATACCCCAACGCCGGGTCTGGCAAACATGGACAGGCGCGTGATTAAAATTGATAAGGCCAAAGTCGGACAAAACAAAATGAAGAAGAGTAAAGGGAGACACCCAGTGCCTCTCAATGCCTGTTTGCCTATGCCGTGTGCCTCAACCCTGCTCTTTACGACGTGTCGCTTTACTGACAGTTAGTTTGGGGTTATTCCAGAACAAACAAGGCTAGTGAACTTGCAGAGAATATAGAGTGGGAGTGCATCATCGCAATTGATGCGCTGCTACTCTTACCATGTGTGCAAGGAAATGGTGTTTGGATTCGAGATTGGGGAGTACATACAAAAGCGACAGAGTCAAGTCGCCATGAATCCTAGCCTTGAGGGTGACTTCGACCTCAAGATTCAGATCAAGGTGTAGCTTGAGCGGGTTCTTCCCGCCGTCCTTCGACTGCGATTGCTGCTGCTGCTGTTGTTGCATCTGCATCTGCTGCCGTTGGTATTGTTGCTGTTGTTGTAATTGCCATTGTTGTTGCTGCTGCTGTTGCTGTCGAACCGTCATCTGCTTGGCTGGTGCGTTCTCCTTATCCGACTCGATCCACGATGGTCGGTTGCGACGACGTCGTGTTCGGCGCGAACCCGTCTCGGATTCTTCCCGTGCTTCTTTTGCGGGCTTCGTCTCCTTTTTGGCTGGTGTCGGTTGCTTTTCCGGCTCTATGGGTTTCTGTTCGTTCTGTTTATTGTCCTCTGCCTCGCTACCAGTCTGGTCGTCACGATCATCCGCTGCGTTTTCTTGTTCGGATTGCTCGGAGACGTCGTTGTTTTCCTCCTGTTGCTCTTCGTTGTTTTGCTGCTCATTGCTCGGCTGGCGAGTCTCAGCTTCAGAATCTGAAGGCATATTGGTAATGCGATGTAGCGATCAACGATCGACTAATGTTGAGCTAGCAATGTATTTCGCCGTTGAAGGGTCTTTTCTTTTTACCTAACTTGGCAGCAACGACGATTAATTTTATTCAATTATCTGGGGTAACAGTGCTGAGGAACTCATCTGCCCACATGACGCAATTCCTGAAAACTCCAAGTGGGCAGTGCTGATTATCCGTCTCGAGCATGATAATCCTTGTTATACGGGAAACCCCAGTCAATCACCCAGCCATTCACATGATTCTGTCTCCCCAATTCTGCGGTTACTGTGCGGTCTAAATCCATTACCCCTGCCCTCAATGAGGTCATATATGTGACAAGACATGGCCAGAACCTTGCCCAGAGGTGCGCCATGTCGGCTGCTTTTCTCGATTATGTCTAATCTGTCGGTGATCAGCTCCAGGGCTCGAGGCCTGTTTCCTACCACATTCTAACATTTTCCCGCCCGAAGCCGTCAGCTTGTCTCTTGTTGCTCTCTGATAGTTTACGAAGTCGTACGAAGTCACTTTCAAGTCCCGGTGGGGTTGTTCCGCAGTTTGACCCGCACATCACGCGAGATTCCACTTACCTCATGGCACTTTCGACTCTCGGTCTACTGACGGTTGGTGCAATTCCAACTGTCATTGGTGTGGCCGAGGCCATCGATGCCCAAAAGAAACAGAACCAGCAAGCGAAAGAGAGGATCAAATTTAACCTTACTGCAAAGTTCTCTCACGATGGAGTCGCACCGCCACAGACCGCGTATGTAGTATTTAAAGACAATAAGGTAAGGGCGTAAAACGTTTGTCTCATTCGCAGAATCAACTAAACTAACACCGTGGAAGCTCTACTTAGATCACCCAGAATGCCCCGTAGAGGGGTTCCGGTTCAACGGTTTCTATTTTGGCTATCCGTGTCCGGAAGAGCATCAGGGTCTAGTTGCGCCCATTGCCGCTGATCCGCCTATGCTCAACTGGATCTACGCTGATAAAGATACGGGGTTACTACTTCACGGTGCAAGAAAGGATACCGTGGGTCATGTTATAGGGCCTTGGAGCTGGACAGAAGACGAGGAATATTTGATTCTCGAGGGCGAGAAATACTTCGTCGCAGTTCAGAACGATGACCAGTCTTGGTGTGTTTATTATGACAAAAACGGCGACCTAGATGAGGTAATGGCACCTCGCGATGTAGTAGAGATTGAACTACATCGAGAATTACAGCTAGGCGTATCTAGTCGATTGACTAGGGACTAGAAGTAGTTCAAACTAAACATAATATTTAAAAAGTAGCCTTCGATGCAGCAAACTTTGCATGTGCAGAATATGTAGAATGTGCATCTCGACATCCCATCTCATACAGATGGCCAAGGATATCAGTACCGGACATTTGGACCGAGAACTACATGCAAAGTACTTTCGGTGAACAAGTCCTGTTAACAGCTGACCGCAAACGCGCCTCGTATCGGCTTTTGAGCGAGCGATCTCCATGCCGTCTGTGGCTTTACGTCAAGCCACCTCGGAGCCTTCCACACCAATTTCATAGGCTTACCACTTAGTACATCGTGTACATAGAATCGTGCAATGGCCTCAGAATCATACAAGGGTATTCGCGTAAAGGAGGGTGTGGAGTGTGAAATAACAGGCTAGACTTACACCACCACCCTAGCACCGCAGATCTATGTGGCATCACCTCTGACGTTATGCCAAAACTATGTTAAGGCAAGGGGCCATGGATACCTATTGCCCCGCTCTCGGAAACCTACAATTACACTGACGTCGACTCTCTAAAGTAGAATAAGAAACAGGATACTAAGCAGGCTTTTAGTGTTAAACGCGTTGAATCCCTTAATCCCTTATATTCCCTTCTAGTCTAACCGTTCTGTTGGATTCTCTCCATCCGTCTTACACTTAGTCGAAGTTAGTTCACCTCACCTTCTACATCCATATTCATACAGAACAATTAGATACTATTATAATGTCTTCAACGAGTCCAAGTGGCCAAAGCCAGAGCAAGAGCAGGTCGCGAGGCGGCCGTCGCTCACGCCGCAACCGCTCCCAGGTCCCCGCGGCCCAGCCTTCAATAAAAGAAGAATACGACAGCGAAGAAGACTACGAGGCACCGCAGCCCAGACGGCGCCAGCAGACGCAACAGCAAAGCCAGGGCGGCGGACCCCTTGGTGGTCTGCCCCTTGCCGGCGGCGCTGGCGACATGCTACCTGTTGGCAACGTCGGCGAGACAGCCAATAACCTCGTGAACAGCGCCCAGGGCACTCTGGGCAATGTAACTGGCAATGCCCTCGGGGGTGCCCTGGGTGGCGGCGGTGGTGACAGTGGCAAGAGCGACACGCTCAAGCTGAGGCTCGATCTCAACCTCGAGGTCGAAGTCACTCTTAAGGCGAGAATCCACGGTGATTTGACGCTAGCGTTGTTGTGAGTATCCCTTTCTACTACTTGAACTTTCTCATCTTCAGTTTTCATTCTACGTATATGATAGCGATTACGTTCCTCCTCTACTTTGTATTCTAGATATCATCAGCGATGTGCTTCCCATCTTGTTTTCACAGCGGTATTCTGATGCGCTTCAAGGGACGGCATGTAAACGTTTCGTTTTCATTTGTTTGCGAGATAGCGCACCTATATAGATCATCACAAGAGGTAAAGTCACCTCTCTTGTTTCGCCTCGTGCCCCTTCCCTTCTTCGTCCCCTGTTCTGTATAATTACCCCTACACATAGTTTGACGTCAATTGAACATAGCTAATATTTTCAGGAACTAAAAGAACAATGTGATTGAGCCGGTCTACATTCATTTTTCTCGGGCTTCAGAGGGTCGGTGTATTATTGATATATATATCATGGCGTTAGGAATTATAAGGGGACTATGATATCAACGACGAGGGACATATTTTCAATGCTTTCCGGATCAAAGCCATAATATCATCGTATAAAACAATTTTAATAAGAGTAATTCAATCACTGTCCTGATGTATCAATATTGCTGCTGCCTTGTGAAAAAAGTAATATGCCCAATTCCATCCTGCAGACTGCGCACGCGCTGGATACCTTAAATCATTCTCCTACAATCCTCCTTCTTGCTTCGGTCAGATACTAGATGAGATACAAGTTACTCTCATATGTACTAAAGATCAACCTTCGACTTATACTGTACGTGGCATACGTACCTCGCAGCACGATTCTCAATACACAATTGGCAAATCACAGCATGGAGAGCACTACCTAACAGATATTGTAGAGATATGTACTATTTCTGAATATCGAAGGTTCGCAAGATCTACATGGAACTGACAGCTAGGCACCTTCCCAAAATACAAGTCTCTCCTCCTACCATCGTTTACTTTTGGGTGTACCCTCTCCATATGATAGAGTGTCAAGTCCGGAAAAGTAGTGGTACTTTGGCGTACACAACAAGGTAACTGCTAAACAGGAAATCACCATGAGTCATATATGTAATCTGAAATGCCTCTCTCTGTCCGGGAGGAAATGACGGGCATATGGCTCTACACTAAGTCTGCTTTAACAGGACATAAAGGCAAGAACCTGACCCCTACTTAACTTCCTGATGAAAGCCCAAGGAAAAAAATTCTTCAAGACTGATAATCAAATCAATCACAAGCACCATGCGTACCTAGTTCTTAACTATATCATCTTGGGATTATGATTATTGATGTAGCTCTTCATGTTAGGATGGATACACTACACTTGCTATAAAGAACTGGTGCAGCAACCCCTTTCGTGTGATCAGTAAGTGGACTTGCCAAACCCTGCGCCGAGATGTACGGCAAAGTACGTGTACTTCTCTCATACAACACTCACTTTGTTGACGTTGGCAATGTGGACGTGGATGGCGTCCGAGGCGACCAGTTCTCACATAAACGAACACATCAAGTTAACTCTGACCAAGAAGGTCCTTCCCAATATTTTCAGACTCTATCCATCAAAGCCTTCTACAACACACTCCAAGTCTTCAAGAACAGCACCAGAAAGAACACAATCATCTGTTGTGAGTTGCATCTATGCTGTGTCAGTCTGTGCTCACTGACTCCATGTCTGACATAAAGTAGAATCTTCTCAAAGATCACAACAAAGCCTTTTCCAACACCCTTATCCAGCCCCCAAAGCCCACAATGAACATCTCTATCTGCCCCCACCCAGACCCCGTGGCCGTCGCAGCCATTGAGCGCGAAGTCTTCAGCAACTACCAGTTCAACGTGATGACCAGCATCCTCGGCGTAGTCGTCGTGTTCTGGTTGTGTACCTCCGTCTTCTTCATCTACCATTTCTACAAGTCCAACCGAGCCAATGCCACCAGACGACGATTCAACGAGGATCAGGGCATTGAGCTCCGCAGTGGGGTCAACTCTGTACGAATCCAGGATGAGTTTGTCTTCTGGGCTGACAACTATCGCCGACGACAGCAGCAAGCTCAGCAGCAGAGAGCCCAGCAACAGCAGGGTCAACAATCTCAGCAAAACCGAGAGACTCAGCAAGCCCAGCCGCAAGTTGAGGCACAAGACTCTTAATTAAGTACTACACTAAAAGTCTGAGGAGGATTGGTGAGGATCTTTCTGGGGTGATGGAGCTGTGAGGTTGGAAGGAATACTAGCCACTCTCGTCTGGAGGGCTATTTGTTGATTTAAAAGTTTCTGTGTTGACTTCGGGTTTCATGAGATGCTTGCTTGCTTCTCTAAGAGAGAGCAGGAATGCAAGCTATGTTCTCCTACAATGCTATGTGCGCATGTATTTTGATTTCAGGTAGTTTGGTCGGGTATTCTTTTATGGAACCGTAAGAACATATCCCGATGTTCTACATTTCGGTGAAAATCAAGTAGGCTAATGCAACTACAAGCTATACTTCTGTGATCCAGCCTTTTTCGCCACAGAGTCTGCCAGTTTTCTTCGCCAGCCCAGAACAATATCTGGTGTTAGGTTTGGAATAGAAGCTACCCGCGTTCCACTTGGTTGATGAAGGCTTAAGATTCCGTCGTTATTGACTTGCACCCAGAATTGCTCATTAAAACTACGGTAGAAGAAGCTGGTATAGAGCGTTTCTATATCTTCGAGGCTCGGGCCAAGAGTACTCGCGGTTGCTGATCTTCTTGGTTGCAACGGTAGCCCTAAGGCGTCGAGAACTTTGTCCAAGAAAACAGGGCGGCCTCCCATTGTTCCAGCACAAGAAAAATATTCCGTACCATCCGCGCTTCTGAGCAATGACAGGAGTAATTTGGCGACCTTGCGAGATACCTGGGACTGGATTTCCATGACACCAGCAGCCAAAGATCGGACAGCATCACTTTTATGTACAAAGAGCTTGATAAGAGCAGTAGTGATGCTATCTGGCAAATCGGTCCTATTCCTCAGGGCCCTGAAGGCTTCATATGATGCGTCCCCCCTTGGATATTCCATTGTTGAAACGAGGCTCATAATAGCCTCATCATGTAAATTTGTTTGATTCCCAAGTAATATAGCCGCAGTGGATAGGACCTCCGAATTTTGGGAGCGTAGAAGCGTCATAAGAACTTTGATATCATCATCTGGCAAATTCGATTGTCCGCACAACGCCTTCGCGGCAGCAATTTGATCACTCTCCCTTGAGCTCCTAAGAAGTCTTTCAAGATCTAAAATAACCAATGGAGACAAAGAATTCGAAGGCTTTCCTAGGATCAGACTAATAGGAACTTGCAAGTGTGGACTTGCAGCTTTGAAGATTGCTAAGAGAGCTGCAACGTTGTTGGCTGAGAGTTTGGCTTGACGTATTAAGATCGGAGATATGTCGTTTCGAATATTTTCATCCAGCTGCGCGTCTCTCAGCATGTGTATCAAATCTTTGACGTTGTCATCTAACAAGTTCGGTTGCTCCCTCAAAACTTTCACTGCGTAAGATCGGGTCTTACTGTGCCCGGTTTTAAGCAATCCCACAAGAGCTGTAGTAACATCACCGTTCAAATTTGCTTGTCTGAGTAAAGTCATCTCAGCCGATTCTGCAATGATGCTGTTTTGGTCTTCGAGCAATTTTATAAGAGCCGTGATAGTTTGATCTGTCCTGTCATGGAGGTTTATCCCGGAGTGAGGCTAGATCACCAATAGGTAGTACGTAGGAAGTAGATAAATTAAAAGTATAGGTAAGGGCTTAATATTATTAATTCTTAACTCCTTAAATATAAAAAGGGAGCTTAAATACCTTTATATAGCTAACTTTTATACTATCCTTACCCTTTAAAGTAACTTTTACCCTAATATTATAATATTTCTTAATAAAGTATACCCTCCTATAAATACCTTACCCTTAAGGCATTAATAAAAGGTAACCTATAAATAGTACTATTTAATATAACTTAATAATAAGATTATAAATATATAAAAAATAAGTAATAATTAAAGGAATATTTTTATTTATATATTTAAGTATTTAATAACTTTAAAGCTATTTATTTATTATATATCTTTTAATATATTGTTAACCTTTTTAATGTTAGTTTTTCCTTTTCCTTTTTTAACCTTAATATAGTAATAAAATTATTTTTATTAAAAGGCTTTTAATATTAATTACCTATTTTTTAATTTTTTTAACTTTTATTTTTATAAATAAATATATTTCTTTATTTTTATTTTT